ACACACACTGGTTGGGGGTTGAAGCTGATCTTCTTGAGCAAATTATGTCACCTCTCTGTGCCTTAGTTGCATTTTCTGTGGCTTCCCCCGGGTCCCTCATCACAGCTGATTTCCTAGACTAGAAGTTGGGAGGGAGGCTGCTGAAGGGAGTAAGAAGTCACAACTGCTAGGGATACTGAAGAGAGAGACAAAAACAGATTAAAGCTGATAAACTGAGTATAAATGCCCTCAAAAGAGAAAGAATCCCACAGTGTTTTGAGCCACTTAGTGTAAGGGAAACAAAATCACGTGGACCCAAAGCCCTTGAGCATATGAGTATTGTGGGTGGGAGGGTGTCATCAGAAAAGTGTTGAGAAAAGGCCTTTTCATTTCCCTTGAAGTTTCCAGTAAGGATGGGGAGCAGAAGCAAAACCCCCACCCCCGGTTCACAGTGGAAGCTACTGTTTTCTGTGAAACTGACCAAAGGTTGGAAACCAGTCATCAGCGGTGCTGGCAAAAGATGAGCCTTCTGGATTGGGTGGGGCACTTGCTGTAACTTCCAGGTGAGCTGCTGGCTGGGGGCTGTGAGGCGGGCAGTAGGTTTGCAGGGTGACCAGGGCATAATCCCTGGCTCTGAGGCTGCTGGTCCGATTAGCAGACCTGGGCACCCGCAGCCCTAATGGGGCACTAGGGATGTGGCCTGGGACACCTGCCGTGCTGAGGGGAAGAAGAGAGCTCCCCTGAGGAGGTGTCTCTGCGGGGAGTGGAAACATCCTCCTGCAGGGTAGGAAGAGCCTCTGAGCAGGGGGCCGGATGCACAGGCAAGACCAGCCTGAGCATGGAGGTTTTTGGAAGCCAGAAGTCATACAGTGGCCAGAGCAGCCATGTTCTTGAGAGACTGGAGGGAAAAGATGCTGAAAAGGCAGGCTCAGTTCAGACCCTGTGGTGGGTTATGAGTGACAGGAAAGGACTGTTCAGGCAGGCATGAGAGAATCCTGTGAGCGTCCCAGCTGGGGCGTCATGCTGGAGGGAGGAGCAGAGATATAGACTATGCCACTTACTAGCTGTGTGACTTTGAGCAAGATCACCCCACCTCTCTATATATATATCTTCATCTGTAAAGTGACAGAGTGACAAGCTTGTGTCATCCGAAGGCTTAGTTTAGCTCTGATCCTCTTTGTCCAGTGCTGTCACTGCTTCCCTGCAAGGTTCTGCAGTGGCTGCTCTTACCCTGAGAAGGGAGGGCATAGAGGGACGTTGTAGTGCCCGAGGGCAAGAAAGGGTTGCTTTAAAAGCAGACATGTAACCGGTTGTGGCTGCAGCTGCAGACCAGCAGGCAGTTTGATTGAAAGTCCTGGAGAGGACTTTGGAGGCCTTAGCATCGTCTTAACTCTTGTTTTTCCTTGGGGACCGGATTTGCCTTTGCAGATTGATGTAGAAGATTTGGGCTTCTGGCAAAGCTGTTTTCAGAGATGGGTATATACGTAACATATCGTATAAAATAAAATGATTTATTTAACGTGTGGGACTTTGCAGCTGTTGGGAACAGCTCTGTTGGCCTGTCCTCCACGGAGGACACTAGGGGTCAGCAGAGCCTACGGGAGGGCAGGTAGCCTGCAGTGCTGCTGTGGGCTGTTCTCCCAGTAGGGCACTCTGCAGAGTTGACTCTTCTCTCAGTTTGGTTGCCAGATGAGCAGACAGCAAATTAATGAGTTCTGGTGGGATTGTATAATGAGAGGAAGAAAGAGGAAACCGTAGTTTTTCTGGACTAAAACACGCTTTTGGTTCCTGATCCAGTGTGTTCCATTACAGAATTGATGAGTTGTGTCTATTCTGGGACTTCATTGAAATAAACGTTCAGCCTAAATGTTAAGAGTTATGTTTTATTTGGCTGGAGGACATGAGCCGGTATGACAGCCTCTCAGATCATTGGGAGGGACTGCTCCCAAGAGGTAGGGGAGGAG